TCTCTATTGCCCACAATCCATGCACATACTGCTGTCAAAATAATCTTTGTTTTTCTGAGGCAGGATTTCTCTGTATAACAGGTCTAGCTGTCCTAGAATTCTCTTTGTAGATCAGGCTGGCCTCGAACTCAGATCCACCTTGCCACCCAAGCGCTGGTCTGTCAAAGTAATCTTTATAGATTATAAAGCTTCAGATCATTCTCTTTAATTCTCCTCAGAGCCCAAAACCCTCAAAATGAACGCCTTCAGTATCTGACCTGCACTTACCTTTCCATCCTTACCTTTTCCGGGCTCCCCACATTGATGCGGCTTTGTATCAAGGCTTCTGTTCTTCAAGACACCTCCTAGATGAAGCCAAAATTATTTATTCTCCCTGGCCATTTATGCATTCTTTGTGCATAAATACTGTAATTATCTATATTCCAGCTGAGCCATCTAAAACCAAATAAATACTCAAGATACTGCAGACATTTGCAAAGGGAACAGGTTTAATATACCAACAAAAAGTAACCTAAAGACTGAAAAATGAGTGAAAACAATTGAGTTATGGTCATTAACTTACCTCTGAGACAAAATCCCTCTACAGAATAATTAGGATCAAATCAACATTTGCTTGTTTGTCAAGAAGTGACTTCTAACTTGTATTTTATGTACTACTTGCTGAGGCCACAGCTCAGAGGTAGAAGGACAAATAAAAGAACTGCTTGGGCTGGAGAGGATGGTGCAGCTAGGACCTGAGTTTGCTTGCAAGCACCCATGTTAGCAAGTGTACAACTTGCCTGTAGCTACAGTTCTGGCAATCTAACACCCCTGGTCTCCCAGTGCACTTATGTGAGTATATGCACATATACATACCTTTAAAATTAATAAAAATAAATCTTTAAAAAAAAACCTGCTTTCATATTAATTTTGGTGGCAAATGCCTATAATCCCAACAACCATGGAAGCTGAGACCCACTTCACAAAATCCTCTCTTCAAGCAAAATTTAAAAGAACCAGTGATGCAGTTTCTACAGCACAGCCTTGGGCTCAACCGTCGGTACCAAAAAGAAAAAGAGCAAGAAAGAGAAAGAGAGACTGACTTTAAAATGACTTTTAAACCTGCTGTTTTAAAGGAAGAACCACTTTTCAACCTTGGCTAAAACCAAAAATGAAGAAAGGATAACTTGACCCATGGCAGACACTGTCCTAATTATGTTAAATCTCCTCTGATTTCAAAGTTATACATGGGAGAGACTAAACATTAACAGACTGACAAAATGTTTATACTAACTCTGAGGAGATAAGAGACAGAAGATCAGGAGTACTGAGGCAGCTCTGCTACATGAGACCTGTCTCCCAAAAAAAAAAAAAAAAAAAAAAAAAAAAAAAAAAAAAACAGAACACGAAACTGGACTACATGAGAAGCTATAATGGGAATCTATGTCTCCAAAGAACAACAACAACAACAAAAAACCTGAAACAGACCAGGCATTCGTGTCAAATGCCTTTAATACCAGCACTTGGGAGGCAGAGAAGAGGGATTTCTATGAGTCTTAGGTCACCTCGTCTGTAGCCCAGCCTACAAATCCAGTTCCAGGACAACCAGAGCTGTTAAACAGACACAGCTTGTCTAGAAAAGCTATTAAAAAAAACCACCAACAACAAAAACAAAAATACCCACCTGAAACAGAATCTGGTCTATTCTGTTTTCTTTAAAGTTGCAAGTATTCTAATTATGCTTTAAAAAAAAAAAAAAAAGACAAAAAATGATACCCAAGCTATTTCATTTCTAAATCACTTGAGTCAGAATTTCCCTCTTTCTTTTGTAGACAATATTTGTGAAGTAGCCACTTTTATAATCACAGTGGACATATGAGTTAAGCTGAGTATGATACTGATACTAAAGGACTATGGATAGGGCTTGGTATTACAAGTTTTATTTGCTCCCATTATGTTTTCCTTCTCCAATTCTTACTAAGAACACTATCTCTAGGGTAGTGTACTGATATTTCATGAGAACAATAATGCAGACAAGCAAACCAAGCACCTTGGTTTTTGTTGTTGTTGTGTGTGTGTGTGTGTGTGTGTGTGTTTTGAGACAGGGTTTCTCTGTGTGGCTTTGGGGGCTATCCTGGCATTCGATCTGGAGACCAGGCTGGCCTCGAACTCACAGAGATCCGCCTGCCTCTGCCTCCCGAACACTGCATGCGCCACCAACGACCAGTTTTTGCATCTTGTTCTTAAACTGCAGTATCTGAAACACAATCAATGTGACAGCTGATTTCTGATAACCACTGGATATTTACCTACATGCTCTTCCATAAGTACATAAAAATGTCAGTATATGGCATACCCTATACAGTATGGAACAAACAGGAAAATGGGGAGGAAGGAGGCAGGTAAGCCTGTCATCTTTGAATTGCCACTGTGCTTTTGTCCTCAATTTGATGTTTTATTAAACTCTATTTTCATTTGTTTCTCCAACACAAGTTACACATTTCATCTACATAACCTTAAAAAACATGTTTATGTATTTAAACATCCTTTGTTTTTGAATTCGGAAAACAAAAGGCCATGGTGTTCCATATAATCATGGGCAAAGGGTTTCTAATCTTTGTGAGAAAACCTCCACTGTTTTAAAAGGTTATCTACCTGTCATTTTCCCCCATAACAATCTTGAGATGCTTCCAAACCAATTATAGGTGATAGAAGGATAAGCTTTGCCAGGACACAGGAACCAAAACCTGTTATTTCTTTAAATATCCCTTCCCCATTAACATCATGACATCTAGAAAAAGCCAATATCGCTCAAAGTGCTTCATAAAAATAATTTTGAGTATCTTCCAATTAAGTGTCATATGTGAACCTCATAGAAAATATATTAAACCACCATTGCATCATGGGAATTACAGCTAGTAATAAAAGTGCTTAGTAAACTATGTTAAACAATTTGTACAAGTCGGGATGTATAAACCCATCGCAAAACACAAACGCTTTGGACGATTAATTTCTGAAAATAAATCCTGAGTAAACTTGGTAATGTTAAAGATAACCAATAATAAGGCTAGAGGGGGCAAAAGTTAGGAAACTGGCTGTTTTTCTTTCCCACTGGTCCATACTCTACACATCCCGCTCAGAAACACAATACAATAAAAGTGCTGATGAGTTTATCTTCCTCTATCTGAATGTTGGCAGCACCAAGAATTACAAAGCCCCAAAGTGAACATAAGGAAAGTGAACTTAATGCATAGCATTAAGCATAGTTTGGAACTTAGCTTTCCAAAGTAAGTATGGATGGACTTAAAAGATCTGAATTACTAAAACTGGTTAAAAAATAAGTAAATAGACAGATAATTAAAGGGTCTACACACACACACTTCCAAAGGCAGTAATGAGAACGGATAACTACGAGAGCAAGAAAAAAATTCACAAGGACGGTAAAATTACAGAGGAAAACTTGACGAATCCTAATGCCAGGGTGTGATATTAAGCAACAAGGTTCCTCGAGACGTTTATGAGTCCTTCTTTTCTCTAATAATCTAAGCGAATTGCCCATAAAATACGAAACTCCGGTGCTAGCAAAAAAAAAAAAAGCAAAGTACTAATGAAACCTGGGCGGCTGGTGCGTACCGTTGGTTTCTCTAGCTGACCCCGAATCCATGGCACACTCATGAGTTCGAGAGCGGTCCAATCCAACACAACAATCTAAGAAAACAGCGGTGGAGTGCGTGGCACTCGACAACTGCTGGCGCACCGAGAGACAAATAGGTGGTTCCGAAAAGTTAGGACTCGGGGATGGGGGGAACCTAGTCGTGG